TGTGTGACTTAAGTGATTTACAATTGATTTTTTGTGAATTCTGTTATATTCATCATGTTATCTTATGTTCTATCATTTTAATTCCTCAGATACATTGGATTACCATGGAAACAGCCGATGGTTGACACCTAAGAGTGTGAATCTGTTAGCTACTAATGATGTTTCAGGTGGTGCTGATCAACTTCCAACTACTAAGAATACCAATGCAGCTGATGTAAGCTAAGTAAAATCAACATAACCAGTTTAACATTTTCATTTACATCCTTGCAATGGGCCTTAAATTTCCGAAGTGTCAATGGGCTTATTCACAATTGTCAGATAGAGTTATTAAAATAGAAAATGCTTACCTTTGACAGCAAGGTATACTCCCTGTCTCTTATACACATCTAGATTACTATTAGATGCAACAAATACATAATGCTGAACCCTTCCAGCTACAACTGTTATGCATGCCTATGTTGGTGTTTTATAGTGTGTAATGCCAATGTTTTACATTATTACTCCAGTCACTGGATGAAATATTATAGAGAACACATACTAAATTCTTTAGATGATAATACATTATGTAATGATGTCCCTACTGTATGCACTATCGGCATTATAATTAAATCACTGTTCGCAGCAACAAAATGTACTAAAATTGGGACCCCTGACATTTGATTTCATGTGACTTTGAAGTGATTTACCTCTGATTTCAGGGGTCCCAAGTTGAAGAACTCCATTTGCAGGAGATTTTGTCGGGAAACTTTGGCCGCCTGCAAATACAACGCGCGTCGTGTTGCAGCCATTACTCAACTACTCATAATATCAAATACTTGACATTCAATGATCAAACACACAGTTAACTTGCTCTTGCTTTCATTTTTATTTACACAATGTAAATTAATACCATGAAATTACATAAATTCTGGAATCTACTAATCTGTACAGGAGGCCTAGTCTAATATTATACATTATTCATTTATTTACACTTAGGCCTACTACATCAATATCATTAATTACATCAATTTACTGTTCTTTTGTGGCATCTGTTAGTTTATTATTGTATTCAACAGTAGTAGTAGTAGCTCCTTTGCTGCTAAGAGAAGAGCGGAATTTGGATGCAGGAGTTCAATCATGGCAAACAAATCTGTAAACATAAAAAAGTAACGAAAATATTGTCTAAAAATGTATGTAACCTAATTTTTTTCTTATTCTTGTTAAAATATCAATAGTCTTGTCTAGGTGTACGTAGCTTGACCTCAAAAACCTTAACTGAGGTCTAGACCTAAGGTATTTTAAGGACGGTTGACCTGGCCTAGTCTGGCCCTGCTAGTGTAGGAAAAAATGGCTCGAGGTCAACATACCTTTAAATATCTTTCAACATCAGCAATTCCACCGTTCTTCACCGATATTACAGCATATATACCAACAACATGGACCTCCATGCTTTCAAACAGTATGGTATACTTTTTCCAGAGTTGAGTTCGTTGACCTCGATGGTGCGCCACCAGTGGCGAATGTACTTCTTGAATTATTGTGAATTAAAAGCACATGTATTTTGCGTTTCTTCGCTGGAGCCATGTTTTTACTTATTATTTTCGACTATTAATAATTGTGTGATTATTTTCATGGAACAGCTCGATAAAATTAACTTTATGCAAAAAGTTAGCTGTAGGCCTGTTCTATGGATCAAAGGGCATGTTGTTTATGGGGTTGTTTAGATATCAAATCACACTGCAGGCATGGTCTCAGGCCGGGCGTCAGAAGGATGGGTGCATCGACATTTTTAATTAAAAAAAAGTGTATTTTGATTCCGTGTTTTCAGCAGTTACCGTAATTAATTGCAAATGCATTATAAACAGTTATGGTAGGGAGTGGAATAAACTTATTTGTGATTGTTTACGATTGTTTTTTAACATCCTGAGTTATGTTTTTACCTAGGCCTAGGCTAAGCTGATATTCAAAATTAAATAGCCTACTCAAAATTTTCAAAAATTTACAGGAGAATTTTTTTCATGCGGTAGAAAACCGTAAGCTTACGGTAGCGCGGTAGGTCATCGCTAAAAGCGGTAGACTACTGCAAGTAGTGGTAGACTTGGGACCTCTGTGATTTACATGTGATTTAAACTGATTTACATATTATTTGCGCGTGACTTGAAGTTATTACTTCTGAGATGTGATTTTCATGTGCTTTACTTCTGATTTACATGTGACTTAGAGTGATTTACATGTGATATACACATGATTTGCATGAGACTTTAAGTGATTTACTTCTGATTTACATGTGATTTGAACTGATTTACATTTGATTTGAATGTGACTTGAATATATTTATGTGATTTACATATGATTTGAACTGATCTATGTGTGATTTGCATATGTGTTAGAGTAATTTACATGTGATATAGAGTATATATGATTTGCATCTGACTTAAAGTAAATCATGGTTAAAGTAATTTACATTTGATAATAATAATTTATTGAACTTACACTTTTGTTACAGTGGCACTCGTCAATTGACGGTGCATTCAAGACCAACAAAATTACAAAAAAGAAGTTACATTAAAAAAAAAAATACAAAAAGCACAAGCATAAAATACCCTTCTTATCATAACTTAACAATTAAACTACTTAAAGTATATAAATACAAAGCAGATACAGCAAATACAGACTTACTTTTCTGTACAGTACTATAGGCCTAAACTTACACACACACCTACTGTAGGTAAACACAATCCAATAAGAGAAATATTGAGGAAAAAAAAAAGTTTAATTCAACGTCACAACATAGCAAATCATTAAAAGAAAAGTTTATAAAAAAAAAATTCATGTGTGACTTAAGTGATTTACAATTGATTTTTTGTGAATTCTGTTATATTCATCATGTTATCTTATGTTCTATCATTTTAATTCCTCAGATACATTGGATTACCATGGAAACAGCCGATGGTTGACACCTAAGAGTGTGAATCTGTTAGCTACTAATGATGTTTCAGGTGGTGCTGATCAACTTCCAACTACTAAGAATACCAATGCAGCTGATGTAAGCTAAGTAAAATCAACATAACCAGTTTAACATTTTCATTTACATCCTTGCAATGGGCCTTAAATTTCCGAAGTGTCAATGGGCTTATTCACAATTGTCAGATAGAGTTATTAAAATAGAAAATGCTTACCTTTGACAGCAAGGTATACTCCCATGAAGCTACATAGGGAGCATCCTAAACTTGACTGACATTACCATGCTATAGACAAATGTGACACCTTCACAAAAAAGGTATATTCCTCAGACTGGATTTAAGAGACTGAATTCATAAATTGAAACCTTGTTTTACAGATTTTGATGTCACAAATGGCACTTTCTAACATACAGTCTTTTTATAGGATCCTTGTGGAACGACCCGAGGTTGCTTTCGTTCACCTGAAGATTGTTACCCTCCCTCTTCCTGCACTTTTTTTGTTGCTTGGAATCGTAATAGTGATACTGATTCCCTCATTGACTTTGAATTGAGCGTAGAGGCAGGATCTGGAGAGACGTTTGGTGCAGTCGGATTTTCTGAGAACAATAAAATGGTAAAGTCATGTAGAATTTAGGGAGCCTAGAAAAGTTATTCATTTAGTGACCAGGGACAAAATAACTTACAATAACTTTCTCTTTTTTAATCCATTACCATTTTAAAGAAGCTCTACTCAATAACAAATAATATAATAATAATAATATACTTATTTTGTTGATGGTAGAGGCTATGAATAATTATTTCAATTTAAACTTAATCTGGTTTTTTTTCTTATTTTTATTGAAGCCTGGTTCTGATGTTTATGCTTGCTTCTCGGACGGGATGCTTAAGCGTTATTTTACCGATGGATACGATCAGAACCAAGTGACAACAAGAGCAAATGTAACAAAAGCCATTTATGTTTTTCATTAAAGCCCCATTCCCGGCAAGATTTCTGTTGTTAGGAAAAATTTTTATATATGTTATAAAGATTTATAAATGTAATACGAAATTGCTAATTTAACTGAATTTAGACATTCCTAAACATGAAAAAAATGTAAAATAAGACTGAAATTTGATTTTGTGTGTATCACACAAAAAATAAATGCGGAAGGATTTTTCATGTTTGATTTTGCGATAGGTCTGCAAAGAAATTTAGTAGGCGCCGAAAACATTAGCCTATGGAAAACTGCTAGGCTAGGCCTAGCCTTACCTCGATTTAGGTTCTTTTATCACACATAAAAACGGCCGACATGATATTTTCCGTTGCTAGTATTGACACTTGTGAAATATAATATTTTATAGAAATTATTTCAAATCTGGTAAAAAAAATGATTCTGACCGAGATTTTGACAATTATAAACAAACATATCTCCGGCCTACTCGATCGATCGCAGTGTGCAAGATGCGAAATACAAAAACCAGTTTCATTAGAGAGGGTGAACTTTATTGACTGTATAAAATATACATAAAAGTGAGAGCATTCCAGCAAATGCGATATACATTTGCCTAGTAACGAAGAATTCTTCGAGAAAATGGTAATCTCCTATGAGAAATAGTCTGTATTTCTCTTTTTTTTTTATTCTTTTGCGTAAAACTAAAATTTATGCCTATATTTTTCCATTGTTTATAATAAATAGAGTAATGCATACGCATTTTTTTAAAATGAAATTTTGCCAGGAATGGGGCTTTAACTTAACGTTTTGTAATTATTATTCTATTGATTTATAGCATAATTAATTAAAAAAAAAAAACAATATGTCTAAAAAGCTAAGGTCAGGGTTTTCTTTCTTTTATTTGTAAAAATATTTTGTTTGTTCTTATTTTAGAAAGGTTTATCTAACATTATGGTGGATGCTGTTGATGGCACTATTCGTTGCATTTTCTCAAGAAACATTGACTTGGATGATGGAGATGCTGAGTTTCTTAGTCTAAATAAATCGCTGTATGTTATTGGATCCAAATCTACAAGAAATGGAGGTAAACTGAATGATAATTTTGTTTGCTAACTGAGTCAGTAAGCAAAAATTGCATTGTCAGCATCCAAGCCAAACTAAGCTTCATATTCATCGTTGTGACAGTCCACTTACTATTCAGTGAACATTCTAAGACCTGTATCAGCAACATGTATATGGTAGAAGTGATTTAGCATCAGCAGGAACGGTTTGGATTCCCAAACTCGAGGTCAGGTTTTCAATCCCTCGCTCTGCATTTCGCTTGTGTCGTTGAGAAAGACACTTTATTTGCATTGCTCCTCTCCACCCGGGAGTATAAATGGTTACCTGGTGGGGTTGCCTGCCCCTGCACTGATTACAGCAGCAACACTTACAGCAGGTGGACCCATTGACCAGGGAAAAGAAATGCGCTTTATAACCTCAAAGAAAAGGTGCATTATAAATGCCCATACCAGTACCAGTATAATTGGTCCATAATAATGTGAAATGGAATTACCCATATGATGCCCAAATGAAAGAGAATTAAGCCACTTTCATGCAAAGCTACGTTACTGCAATATTGCGGGAATATTCCCCGACATCGCCTTCTGTATGAATAGGTCAGTGCTAACCGCAGCCGCAATATTGGGGGTCACACAGCGTTCCATTTCAGACCTAGTAATATTACCGCAATATTGCTGTTACGGTGCGTTCCAACGTGTTTCTGAAACGAAGCATGTCACATTCTTGCAATATTACTCCTTAGGCGAGAATTTTTATACACTCTTCAGCGAACAGTATAAAGTCTAGCATACCACTATGACATTATTTACTGCACTCTCAGTCGGTGATGACTAAAAAGATTAACTAATGAATCTCTCTCAGCGTACGGGTTCCATTCATACAGGAAAGGTGTTATATTACAGCACTATTACTGCAATATATTGGTTGGTATGAATGGTTTATGCCAGTACTTGTAACAGTATTATTACCGCATTATTAGCAGAGCCTCTGTCCCAAATGATATCTAAATTTTCCACAGTTGATTGATTGTGATTTATTATTTATCATTTCCACAAAAGAGAAAAAAAAAAATGTTCTATCATTCAATTCCTCAGACACACTTGTTTACCATGGAAGCAACCGATGGGTGACAACAAGCGCTGTGGATTTGTTAGCTGTTGGGGCTGTGTCAGGTGACGATCAACTTCCAAAAACTAAGAAAGCCCATGGTATGTTGATTTTTTTTTATTTAGGTATAACATAGGCATAGGCTGGAGAATGCGAACGCACCCACCCAATTAGTTCCACTAAGTGAGTTAAAATACCAACAAGTTCTCGTAATCTCGAAAGCTCCGATGAGGGCAGTATAATAGAGGCAGTAGAGTACATTGGCCCTAATGGCCGCCCATATAAAAAAGATCTATTATTTAATCAGCTGAGTGTTTCTAAAGCTTCTCATGAGAGTTAAAAATAACCTTTAGGTTTTCATTGGAATAGGGATAATTACTTCCGCATTCTTAGTTTTGTTCTCCCACGCCAAAACTAGACTATGCCTCTTTATATCACTCAAATATATGTTTTGATGCATCTTTATTTCTTATGATAACTACTGTATGGTTGACAGGTATCCTTATGGTGATTGCGTGGATGTTCTTCGCAAGTACTGGTATTCTTGTCGCTCGATACATGAAAACTTTTCTCCCTGAGGAAACTCTCTGCGGTACTAAAGTTTGGTTCAATGTGAGTATACCTTAGTACCGTAAATCCTCGAATAAGTGCCGCACCAAACATGATTATTTTTGCTAGCGCCGTTCTCGATTAAGTGCCGTGGTAATAAGCAGCCCTTATTCGAGGATTTACGGTGATCAAAAATATCTAGCAAACCTAAAGAAAGAATAAGTGCAAAAGCTCCGTCAAAGTTTTTTATTATAAATAACCATATTACACAGATAGCTATTTAAAATTATATCACCTTAAACCATACAAAGGAAAGATAAGATAAATCGAAAATAAAACTATTATGTAAAATGGGAAACAAAAGTAAGAGATTTTTACATAGCATTTTTTTGTAATAAAAACTATTCTAATCAAATTAATAGTATAGTTTCACTGTTCAGCTTAAGGACAGATTTTGAATTTCAGGCATATCAAAAATTTGATGAGAATCAATGAAAACACATGCAAGTTAATCAATAAAAACACATCATCATCATCATCATCATCTTCTTCCTTTACTGTGCAGAACCTCTTCTGAGTTGGTAATGCCAGTAGCATGGATTACCACCTTAATCCTTTATCTTTCATTAATTGCCTTCCATCATTTTTTCTTGTAGATTCACCGTATCTGTATGATAAGCACATGGGTGTTGTTTGTGTCTGCATTTGTTGCCATATTTGCAGTTAAAGGAGAATTTGTTCAATCGACAAATGTAAGTATTTTATTTCTATGTAGAAATAGATAGAGAAAAGATAGAATGATCACATAAATGCCGCTGCCACCACTGGTCATTTTATAATTTGTTATTCCTGGGAATGCCTGGAAACTGTGAGCTATTGATTGAAAAATATGGTTCACAGAGCAAATGATGTTTGAGATGAATTATCATAATTTTAGAATAATGAAATCATAATATCATTTTACCATATTATTATTAATGAAAACAGTAAGGTTATATAAGAGTATAATTTGAAAAGTTGATAAAATATTTATTCACTTGGATTTTACAATTAAATCCTAATGTTTTCTAAATATTCTCATTTTTCCTAGAAAACTACATTTGCTCATGCTATCATGGGTTGTTTTGCTGTGGGATTTGGAACAATCAATCCAATAATGGCTATTTTTAGACCTCATCCTGGAACACCAAGGTAAGTCTGTCTACTACCCCATCATCCATGCCTCTATCCACCACTCCCTTCATTTTGTCTTTCAGTCATCCATCTGTCAATTTAACCATTTTTTTTTATCAGAATGGATCAACATAATTTATGTTACAAAATTATATCTTTTATTTATTGGTATCTTTATTTCAAAAACATTAAAAATCATTAAAAGAATAAATTTGTAGGCAATGGTTGAATTGCTGGTTTTATACTTAAATTAGTCATTCATTAATTCATCATTTCTTTATTTTAAATATAAATATCCATAAGGCAAAAAAGTATAAATAGTAAACTGCATATTCCTCAAAAATTAAAAAGAAAAATATATACAAATTAATATTCAGTCTACTTGTAAACACAAAGAACCATAAGGGCAAGCCCTTAAATATACATGTATTTGGCAAAAAAGAACTACACTCATGCATTGACTTCGGGTGACGAAATGACCAATCAACATTCAATTACGTACGCTGTGAGTGAGCGTATCGTTTCGCGAGCAATGTTTTGAAACACGTTTCCTGGTTACGGTGCATTATTATGCAAATTCTCGCCTGGCTAAACCCGCTAGTCTGAACGCCTGGCAAAGTTAAGCCGGGCTTAACGTTGAGTGGGGCTTTACTCAAGCCTGGCCTATCTCCAAGTCTGAACGTAGACTTACAGTGTTCTGTTGCCTAATAATAATAGGCATTTTTCGTTTTCGACTACGCGGCCAGTCTACTACGAACTAATGGACCGTGACGGCAACGTCAAGACACTGTTCACATACTACACCAAGAGCTGTTTTCGTTTTTCTAAGGCGACTACGATGACGCACCACACGTACGTAGGCCTACGGAGAGGAGTTAGTCGACCATGGTTTTATTACCAGGGAAAAACGTTCCCTTGTTTTATATTTGAAAAAAGGAATGTGAATAAAAACATTAGTCAAATACAAAAAAAAAATTTCCAGAAACACTGAGTGATGTTTCGCTGTTGGCTAGTATCTATGCCTACAGGCTAGGCCTAGCCTAGGTGTCAAAAGAGTCAGGAACCGGGAGAAGAGGCAATTTGCCAAATGCAACGATGATGTACAAATAAATGTACATAACATTTTAAAACAGAGGTATTTATATAGCAAGGCTTGATACACGACACCATGGGCGCAGATGCCCTAGCTAGCGGCACCAGATAATGTGTTTTCTCCTACCCGAAATCCACCCTCCCTGACAAGGCTAGGCTAGCCTAAGGCTAAGAGGCCCCTTTTTTCACTATCCACTGATTTACCTAATTATATGTTGTGACTATTCCGAAATTCCACATTTATTGTATGTATATAAATAGGCCTTCATAAAACATTTAATTACTCACTTGTTTTAATAATTAATTCATTATTGAACGAACAATGCTCGATCGTGGATGCGATGAAAATTGAAACCCCCAACAAAAAAGTTACCAGCAGTTTGCCAAACAATCCGGTGATCCGATTGGTCAGTATTATGGTAGTCGCCACTACGCCAAATTCAGAAATTAGGGTGGTCGCGGAAGCTGTCACAACGCCGATTTAGCCAGTAAGGTTTGTGAGCATGCGCAGATGATGTCTGTTACGCTCTATTAGTTCGTAGTAGACTGGCTGAGTAGTCAAAACGAAAAATGCCTAATAATAATTTATTAGGAAACTCCACTTTTGAAACAATGGCACAATTTACATGATAAAGGTGCATCCAAAAATTAAGTTAACATGAAATTTATGACATACAATACTAAAAACAATATAAAGATAAAAATAAAACCTATGTCTAATAATACAATGTGGCTTGTTTACAGCAGAAAAGTAGCATTCTTTGATCTTTAACAGCTACACATCACATAATTATTAGTGCCCTATGCTTTATCAACCATAGCATGGATGGAAATCACCCCAAAGAAGTGTAGTGAACACATAAACTTGTATACAATTAATATACATTGAAGTGTTGCTTTTGTTTTGATTACTAATGGAAATATTTCTCCATACCAGAACAACAGTCAATCATTTATACACTACAGGAGATTTGTTTATTTTTCAGGCGTCCATACTTCAACCATCTGCACAGGATTGTTGGCCTTTCGGGTTGGGTTTGTGCAAGTAAGATTATGTTAATTTCTTTTCATAAACACCTGCCACGACTAAACTGATTAGATATACAATGTAAACATTGATGTGTAGCTTCCTTAATAGAAGCAATGTTTACTTATTTGATAATTTAAACCTACAGTGTAAGGTGATCTCAATCAGTCAATCACTCAATTAATTAATGTTTACTTATTTGATAATTTAAACCTACAGTGTTAGGTGATCTCAATCAGTCAATCACTCAATTAATTAATGTTTACTTATTTGATAATTTAAACCTACAGTGTAAGGTGATCTTAATCAGTCAATCACTCAATTAATTTTTAAAGCACATAATTACAATGTCAGTACAGAAGCTTATGAATACTGTGATAACAAATTAATTAATTAATTAATTAATTAGTTTTAATTACATTTTATCTTTAGTACGATAATGTTACTTTTATTGTGATTTACAAGTATGTAGGCCTAAGATGTTTTAACTCTAATAAAGTTTTAATGTGTATTTTTAGATTTAGATTTAAGTACTTAATTAGTTTAAGGACACAGCCTTGCTGAATAACAACTTTCTAATTTTTGTATTAAGTCAAGTTTTACTGTGAATAAAGAATAAAATTATTATTATTATCATTACTCCATTGTACGACAGTCGTACAACCATTGTATGGCGAATCCAACTCCTCTTCCTATGAACGCTGGACGACACAGTATGCTGATTGTCGGTGGCTGTCTTAATGGATCGTTATTAAAAACGATTTTTTGGGGGCACCTTGTAGCATTGCTTTCTTTATACACTCAAAATTTTGAAGAAAATTAAAATGAACTTATCCAGACATTAATTAATATATTATTGTGAAGGTCTTGTGAGGAAAACCTCTATTATTGTTGTAATTGTTATTGTAACATAATCTCCCTCTCCCCCACCCCAACACACACATGCACACTCACTTAATTTTCTGGATTGGTCACTGTTGATTTATATTTCCAAAAATGAATTCATAGAATTATTGTTTTTGTTATTAGTATTACTGTTATTTAATTTTATTTATTTCATTTTATTTCACACCCAATCATCCATGAGCCACAATTACATCGTCTTCCAGTACTGTGCATAATCGCTATTTATAGATATTACTTGCACAACAATTATTGTTATTATTAGATGTTATTACTAAGATTGTTATAAATATGTTGTATTATAATAATTATTTACAAATTGGTATTTTTAATATTGTTGTTTCAGTAACTGCAATCGTGCTGGCGTGTGACTTCTATTTTGAATCAGCAGAGTCCATCACAGACGTCGGTGCATTTTGGATAATGTTCACGTTTCTTATTATCGCTTTCACAATAATACTGACATTCGAAATCTTCAATTTCAGAGCAAAGTGTGATACCAATCAAAGTATGCCGTTTTTACAATTAGTAATCCAATTATATAGTGTTCTTTTTATTCTCATTACTGTTATTACTTTTGCTCTTAATTATAGGGAGCTTTCGATTTGTGCGACGATGCAACGCTACAACGGAATCACTCATGCGTGACCGTCCTACCTGGTGTCCCACGTTTAGTGCATACGTAGATTTGGCCAAATTGTGTTCCAGAATCTGCTCGACGAGGTGACCTTAACGTCTCGCATGCGCAGATGACTTTTACTGACATAATTACGTTCTACCGTCGTCGAAAGCTCCCTAATATTATAGATCCCACTTATAAGCTCATCCCTTTGAATACAAAATTTTCCACCTGATGAAGTCAACCCAAAATTCAATGCAATGGAAATTCTACAATATCAGTGCCTTAAATAACATTTCTGAATGAATCAATTATGCAGGAAATTTAGCATATAAATTCTAGCTAGGCCTGTTCTGGAAATACTTAATTTCTTTTATTATTAATAATATAATTATTTTAAGGCGTAAGGCCTAGCAATGGCTAGGCCTTATTAAATTGTTCAGGCATTGCCTGAAATGATCGTTCTCAAAAGTATCGTCATATTTTTGAATTTTATTAGTGGTTTATTGTGTCATCGATCATTTGGTAACAATTAATTTTTTATTCTTAAATATAACAAAAATTGTATTATATTTATTATGAATAATGATAAATTTTACTGATAGTATCATTATTTAACAACTATGTTAATTCCTGTGTATTTAATTACCTACTGTAGTATATAATTTGTATGAAAAAAACTCATTTTTTACCTTACTCTATATGAGTATATTTTACCAGCCTGTTAGTGGCAATGATTCGCTGTTGGTCTGATGAAATGAAATAAATAAATAAATAAATGTGTGCTAAATTACTCATTATATTAATAGGCAACATGACAAAGATCTATTGAGTACTATTTTAGACCTACTGTAATTTGAAGGTATTGTACATAACTTTTTGTTTTCTGTTAATGTTGTGAATGGGAATGATGTTTGCCCCACCTGACACGTTATCGTACTAAATGTTCAGTATGTTCCCAAATGCTTGCGAGAAAAAAAAAGCAAGCATTTGGGAATGTACTGAACATTCAGTACGGGAACACATCAGGTATTGGAATGTTTACGAGTTATTGTATTCTGATTCTAATTATTATTACACAGAAGCAAATCAGCCTGATGGCGTTGCAATGCAGCCTGTGGATGGAAATAAAGTCACCGTCGCTGCTCCTACAACGTCAGGCAACTCAGTAAGTAATTGGTTGCAAATTAAGCCCTGTGCAGACTATCAAAAAACTGTTGTATGCCCATATATAGTCATAGGCACATGATGTGATGTCATCATGACCATATTTAGGCATGTCACATGGTGTTAAAAGTATCTGTGATGAAGTATTGAAAAATCCTAAAAATTTAATAAAAAATAATATTTGCTCATTTAAAACAATCAATTATGTATGTACTACTTCTAGTGACACATGAATCAAAACAATTCAACTAGATATGCACATTTAGCTACTGGGTGGTACAAACAAGTATCCAAGCTCAGACTAGAACACTGACATTTAAATTGGAATCATTAGCCCTACTGCTGTGCCACCTGCCTATGTATAATGCCTCTTTCGCATTAATAACTGCACCCTTCTGCAAAGGGGTACACAGCACTGGTGGTGATGTTTTTAACTCTGGTCATGGGATCCATAAATTGACAGACCAGCACAAAATGTAGTCTTTCCATCCCTGGAAATTATTTCAAGTCATACTGCAATTTAATTTGCACAGACTATTATTATTCAATGGTACAACATTGTACCCATTTGTACTCCTAAGAGTGGAGACAAATGTGTGTAAATTGCCCACAGGTGCAAGTGAACCGTCTGAACCCCCGACCGCAAGGCGAGTTCAAACCACAGCCTCTCCTCAGAAAATTTCCAAGTTAACTATGTTTAATTTCACTTGTATTCACTTTTTAATTGTACATTTCTTTTTCTTTGATTTAGTGTGAAAGATGGAGGACCCTCATCTTCGGCTGTTCCTTCCTTTGTATTTTTATCCTGACTGTTGTTATGATATCCGAAATTGCCAAAGTGTGATCTGAATGAGATGCAATTGCTCAATTACATTGGGAGGAGGGTGGGGTAATTGGGCAAGAGTTGGGTAATTTGGCGGGGGTAATAGATAATGTGTACAAAGGTTATGGATGGCCATTGTGTAATTGTATGGTATTTGTTTATTAGGTTGTAGCTATTCTGTGTTTTGTATTACTGTACAACCACATTCCCACCCAACTCCTCGTTAGTTGCTTCATGTTCCACTATTTAATTATTTGTATGGCACTCTTGTACTAATTTAACCATTTAAAAATGTAATGGTTATGCTAAACAAACTGGCAACATCATTAACAATTTACCACATTGCATTTGGGTGAATTTTTAATATAAATGAATTTAGTTTTCCACTACCATGCCTCCCTCTCAAGCCTAACTTGTGTACAGAGTATTACGATGTGGTGTATACTAATAAAGATAAAGTGTTGGAAGGTTAAGTTCGAAAATTATGTTAGTAGATGAGGGGGAACTCGGCCTTATCAAACATTTGAATAGTGTTGCTCTGTAACGAAGGGGTTGTTATGTGGTATTGTGACGTTAGCTACGTAATACTGTATATGCATAATACCGTGGCTCTCTCCTTGGTCTGATCTACTGTAACTCGTGTAGGTCATAACATGACATTTGAGTACACTAGAGCCACAGGCCACAACCAATGCCTTAGTATGCAGTGACTACCAAATCATTTCTCCCAGAATGCATTGCAGTACTAACAAAAAATTAATGGGTGAAAAGGTTCCATCTTTAAGTAGCAAGAAAGTAGAATGAAGTAATTGATTTAAAATCATTACCATTTTTTGTTAGTAATAAAATTTATTTATTTTGATCTTTATATTTTAAACTAATTTAATCAGGATACATTTTTTAGGCATATGGTAATACTGTAGCTTTTTTTTTAACGATGATCTTGCGCACAATACGACTATAAAATGAAAACTTATAATAGGGATGAATTTAAATTTGTACATCTGTCAGTTTTTGTTACCAAAGACACCAGATCCATCCATTTATATTGTTGAAAATTCTTGATAATACAGTACATTATATTATTATGCACAATACTAGGATAGCTTAGCAAGAAAGTGGAGTTATAGAAAAGACGCTCACCTTTTACTCACCGGGTCAAAATGCACAACATTTGACCTCATGAAGCAATCCAAGCCATAAAGAAACATATAAAGCCGGGCACTCACTGTTATATTGAGTTGGAATTGATAAAAAAAAACTTGCTTCGTTTTTGTGTTTATGTTCATGCTTACACAACCAGACTCAACGTGTTGAAGGTATTGCGCCACTACTGTCATATTCTACTATAACATTGTACTTAGTCTGTTGAATGTTTCTAAATCACTTGATATATTTATATGTATTTATATTTGATTAGTATTTGATAAACTCAGGTTAGAACAAGCCTGTGTTTATCTGGCCATTTTTGAATTGAATTTAATTCCAGTGCCTTAGAATCTTCATAATACTATTGTTAGGAAACATTCACTTTTAAATGTCATTGAGGAGACTCAATGCTTCAAACGCTTTATAATTGTACACAATTGAAAATGATATTTTATAGGAAAATTGTATAATTAATAGTGTATTTGCAAATTGTAAATGATATTCAGTATTTTGGTATAATATATTACATAATGAATAATTATATATTATGGGTAAAATCTAATCCAATTGTCTTTAAAACAGTTTTATAGAATATTATTGTTGTTGCACTTTTAATATATAATCAATTATTTGATACTCATTATTTATATATTATTTTCACATACTACACTGAACTAATAAATCTAATGACACAATTTAGAAGCTCTGTAATTTTTATTGATGTGTGGTGGAGGGGATGTGTGTATTATTGGTTTACACATTGTTATTCATAGATTACTACAGCGTTCCACAAACTTTTAGACTGACGACCCAATACCAAAATAAGTGTGATTAAATTTTAATTATTAATAAAACTTTGCTTTATACGGTGGACAATAACACTGAACATTCTAAAAAATACCATATATTTTCATGTATATGAATATCGATAGTAATGATAATCAGGGAGCTAGCTCATTTTTAAAATTATTTCTGTCAAATTCATGACTCGCTACAATATTTTGGCGACCCACAATTTGCGGAATGTTGGATTATTGTATTGAACTTAAAATAACATCATGACATTGCTTTTGCTTCACTTCCGTCATACACATCAAAATGAAGTTACACTATGATTTTTCTTCATGTTCATACATTCAATTCAAAAATATTATATAAGTATTCTATAAAATGGGAATTTATAATACAATTGATTTGAAAGTGTTACCCCCTTGTCTGCATCAACCATACTAACCCTCTTTCACTGAAATTCTCAACTAATCAAATTCAACACCTTTTGGCAATTTCCTCCTGAAAATGGATCACAAAGCAAAGCAAATTATTTTTAAAATAAAAATTATTTAAAATTCAATTGTAATAGATAGCAAATTACATGTTGAAACTACCCTTTGGCGTGCATCACACAAAATGGCATGTTATTACTCTAATACTCTTTTAATTAGGAATTACCAACTATGGCAGGAATTTTATTTTTGGAATTTTTAGGATTTGTACGTATATTATATAGCAAAAATCTTTAAATAAAAATATTTAGAAGCAAATAGAAAAGTGTCTGACCGTTTACTATTGGGGTTAACAAGACTTCTGCCTGGATCCTTTGGAGGTTTATTCAGAGGTGCTACTCGTTTTGTATCCAAATCTGGAACTTGGTATCCACTCCCATCTTCAAAAGTAACATAAATAATATATATATTAAATGTCAGTAATAGCAAAAATAAGGTACAGCATAAACATTGATAAATAATATTATAAATACCTACTTCAAATGCCAATCTGAATGGGTTCTTATAACATGGGGCCTAATTTCAAAATTTCAGTCATAATCCACACATTCTTTTAAGATTCTTGCCTTACCTGGGAATATTTTGGAGGAGTAGCCTTGTTTCTTCATTTTCTCTCTTTCCTTTTTCAAATCTAAAAGAAGGGAAAAACAATTACAATTAACAAAAAATTAATTGACACAAATCAACATATGTATTGGTTTCATTATGGAGGTATAAATATATGTTCATTACTTTCTTGCTTGTACTTTAGGTAAATAAATATACTGTAAATACTGTACTTTTAAAAATATTTAATCAACCTGTAATTTCTTGCTCCAATTTCTCCATTCCAGCTGCTAAGTAAAATAAAATGTCCCGCAAATCAGACTTTCGTTTGCTTACAGTAGCTTCGGTTAATTCGTAGCATAGGCATTTTGTTCCATTTCCTATCGTTACTAGGACAACCTCTGGTTGTTGCTTAGTTACTGTCAATTTATTCAAATCATAGGCTGCTTTCAGTTGGCTAAAATATTCTTCGTAGTTAGAAAACCCTGAATCATCTCTCTGATAAAAAGTATTAGAAACAAATTTGGAGCAATGCACACATATGGAGCATAAAAAAATGATATGAATACTAATAACAAACTTAGAATAGTTTTTTGGGGACCAATCACAATAAAATATATTTTTTTTGTATACAAAAGGGTATCCCCTCCTCTTCCATTAAAAAAATATAATATAGTAGAGTAGGTTAAATCATTGTTTTCTTATATTAGTGTACAAGGTATCTAATTCACAACCTCTACTTCCCAACTCCCACCCCCACATAATGTACAAAAATTACTATCACTGGAACAAATGACAACTGATATATTGGAACTTACATGTGAGCCAAGTTTAGATAGATCAAAGTTTTGTTGCCATAATTCAATACCATTTGTTACACTGAAAGAGATTGAAAAAGAAATACACAGATTGTTTATTCAATTCATAATGGCAGCAAAAGAAAGAAAGAGTGGAGTATGATACTAAAAAAAATCCTTGGTAGGTCTCATAGGAAAAGTTGTTATGACTTACTATGGTCCAAATGGTGCTTTTGGACCACAATACAGTATTAGGGATTAGCAATCAAAATAACATTATTTGGATAGGCAAATTATTATTTAAATTTTTAAAATTACCCCTGCCACACGCTGGCGCCACCACTGCTAGGGCCTAGGTTGCTACATCACATACATTGGTTGGGACTTGTTGAACAGTGTGTACCTACAGTACTCTATGTTTGAGTCATTGGTACAGTATTTTGTTATTGCCATTGTTCATGTTTCAGGCTCGACTTTTGCACCCTTCCCTAGCCTAGATAACCAGTGTAGGATGGGTTTACACACAAACCAGTTCTGCCGTGATGTATTTTCCACAGAGGGAAGGTGTCTGGGAAGAATGAAAACTTCCTTAATGTTGTACAGGTTTTGGGTATAATTAAATGAGTCTCTTGTCCCGGTACATCATGGTGACGTATCCAATCACTTTTGCAGATAGTCCCAGCCAAACTGCATAAGCATGTTTGTTAAGCAGGATAATCTTAATAAGTGTTTATTCCATGTTTCCAAGACAATTATCTTGGAAACTCGGAATTTCAAATTTATTTAGGCTACAGTACCTGATTTATAATTCGATATAGTGCATCCAATCTGATGTGCAAAAAGCTCAAAGCTGGAGTGACTTTACTACAGTACTGTACTGTATATCGCGATAGAATATTTTTTAGTTGCTACGGTAAGCCAAGTACTATGTTATGATGAACACACAATGCACACAGCGAACCTGACTATTCTCGCTCTACTACGGCGCTGGTTAACATGAATGAAGCCTACTAGGCTAGACCGTCCTTAGTTATGCAAGGCCTAGAAAGTCATATGGTTATGATATAACAAGGCAAGGTGATTGACCTATATTATAAAAGTAGGCCTACTGAAAAAATAAGGCAACGCTGAAATTTAAAAAAAAATGTTTACAATATTTCTTTAGCCTGGTGTTGGCTAACTCATCATGCCCATGCCAACTTGTATCCATTTTTGTTCAGGAAATAATGACTCCTTCGGCTTCTATTTCTATAGTGTACACAAAATCTGACTAATAATTGCTGCCTAGCTCTAAGCCTAGAGAGCGGAACATAGCCTGTCTCTGCGTCTGCCAAAGCTAGGCTAGCTAGCCTACAGTAAGCCCTCCTTGTCAGGCCAGCCAGGGAGGGTCCAGCAGGACCAGGTAGGGCCTAGGCTAGGCTAGCTACTTACTGAAAAACCCAATCAGACTGCGTTGTCGTAGTAAAACATAAATACTTTACTCCCTCTGAGACAATAGTTGATTGGAGATTTGACGCCTTATTTGCTTCGGCTATATCTTTCGCTGATTCCATTTTAGAAAGTTTACAGACAAAATGAATGTTCATTCACGTTCGGTACATACAGGGATAATTTTATTTTTATTTTGTATGAGCCCCCTCTACGGTCTTATTTCTTTAGCGTGTGCGATGAACCGGAAAAGAAAAAGGGAAATTCTAAACTGGATTTGTATCTATTTTTAGAACTTTTAAGACCGTCGAGACCCACAAAATAAAACCATTGAATGACCCAAAATAAGTACGAAGTTCAGCTGCGTAAAGTATTTCAGATTTTTTTGAAATTTAAGGTAGGCTGGTGGCTGGTGTTACAAAAATTCAATACAGAGATTTTTTTAAATATCAATTTAGGCTCAAGAGGCCCCACAAATGCTTTATTTATAGCCAAACTATTATTAAGACTAAAATAAAAAAGTACTGATGTTAGCCTCTAGTCTAGGCCCCCTTAGTGGCTGACATGTTGTTTGTGGTGGTGGCTGAGGAGGGAGTTCAGTCAAAATTTCAGGGGCCTGGCCTGACCATAGCACTTTTGTGTTGTTACTGTTCCAGGTACCGATAATATACAGATTTCTCTTATTATAAAGTACAAGTTATGTTTTATAAAGAAGTATGGTGTAGTAAATCATGTTTTTAACACAGGAAACTCTCAATATGGTAACTAAAACAATGCTAGTCCTGAGTATTATTACTAGAACTACTGCACTGTAAATAGACCTATTTTAATACACTACACTAGATAGGCTTTTTTTTTTCCATCTTGATTTCAGAGGTCAAAAATATTTTTCAATTTTTTTCAATCATATAGTGGTGTAGACTAGTCTTTTAAGAACATTTTGCTGGAATTTTTTTTTGGATACGACACCTCGTTATGGAGTTATGATTTTTTTAAATAACATGATGTCAGAAAATCAACCCAAAAGTTTATCTTATTTCTGTTAGTTACGCACCGCTGATTCGCAATGTTTTTCATTACTTCAAGCTGTCTACCGATTCGTGAAAAAGGCTTCACCAATTCTAGATGAGCTCCATTGGCTTCCCATCAAGGAGCGGATTCTTTTAAAAATTCTTCTGATGGTGTATAAATCATTTTCTGCTACTGCCCCGTCTTACTGTATATAGATGAGATGTTAAAACCTTATACATCTTCATGCACCTTAAGATGCATCTCTGGATTGCTTCAAATCCCGCATGCTGCTTGTGCCACTAAATTTGCGTTTGGTGACCGAGTATTTTCCATTGTAGCACCTAAGGAATGTCAGTAGAATGTTTCAAATTTGGTTTAAAAACTTACCTTTTTTAATTGTAAATTCAGATATCTTACTGATGATAATATATTTTTGTAATAATCAATGATTAATTATTTGATAATGATGTTATTGGTAGATCTATTTTTGTGCTCCATTTTTTTTTTTTGTTAAAATGTTCTATATATTGTAATTTTTAAATTTTATTGTTAATAACTTGTCTTTTATATATAGTCCGATTGCATCTCCAACATACCATATTTTTGTAATAATTAATTAATGTAAATAGAGTAATAATTGTAAATAATTGAAATTATTTTACTTGACTTTTCTAGTGAATTATTTTTATATTGAATGATAAATATTGCAAATATGTTTTTAGAATTAGTATTGTACATTTTTGGATGAATTTCGCTTTTATTATGACATGTTATTGTATTGTATTGTTTAATATGATTGATTGTATGCGCTCTAGGTTCGGCTTGCTGGCGTAGAGCGCTTTATAAATGTCACTTATTATTATTATTATTATTATTATTACTATTATTATTTTTGTCCTTTTTGTCAGGTTGAGATCAAGCCAAATTGTTAACTTAAATTGGCATAAAAATTATTACAGTTGTAAAACAATTTCAAAATTAATTAATCTTGGCACACAAGGCTGTTGAAATGTTGTTTATGTTTCAATATCATTTTATTTTTTTGCATGTGTGATTAACTAAGACAAGCTTTGTTACATTCAATTAACATTCAATCATAATAATGTCTAATCTAATGTTTCTATTAAATTTGATGTGGTTCTGCTTGATTGACTGATTTTGTTTGATTGGCTGTTTAATTTTTTCTGCTAATGGAGTGAGAGTGTATTTACACCATTGAATAAAGTGGTGTTGACAACATTAAAACATTCTCACAAGAATTCCTCCAGCACTGTCCCTGGACAGAACCATTGAATTTGGCAACAAATGAAAGTGAACAGCAGATTTTGAACCAAATTGAGTTATTTAATTTTTAACAATAAGAGCCTTTTATGGAAGATAGGAAGTGAAGTGTATATGCAGCAAAGACAAAGCCAAACCAGTCACAAAAAAAAAAAAAAAAAAAAAAAATCAATTTTTAGTTATTAATACTGGGTTAAACAATAAATGAGGGCTATAAAATGGTAAAAGAATCATTTAAATCTGAAATTTCGTTATGAAATTACAGGTGCTTAAACAGGTTTTGAGAAGTGGGCCTTCAAAGTTTTCGATTTTGCGCATTTCTCAGGCAGAAAACAATAACCAAATTGTTAAAAATTGTTATTTTAACATTAAAAATGGAGAAAGTGACAACATAGCATGAAGCGTAAATATATAAATGTTAGTTTACTGCAATTGATTAAAAAAATTTTGACATCCCAGCATGTTTAGGCCATTATCACTGAAACATGGTTTGCGATGAGTGACTAGTTTGGCTTGTCTTTGCCACATATGCACTCATTTGAATCCTCCTGGGTATACATGATGTCATTGATTCAGTTTAAAAAAGTAGAATCAACCTAAAGATGTTAATCAAAGTTAGTCAATCAATCACATGAATGAAGTAATATATTTTGGTGGTGCTAATTGTATACAATTTTGAAGGTTATAGCATTCTAACCGATTGTTTTTAATGTGTATGATAATTACCAAATATTGTCATTTAGGTTTCAAGATGGATGAATTTACCCAAAAAATTCTGTGGTTGTCAACCGAAATAGTATCACCAGAAGATCGTGATTGCTTACGCCTAATTGCATCATCAGTATTAAAGATAAACCAACAACACAAGAGTGTAAAAGAAATATTGGAACAATTGTTAGACAAGGAATTGCTTTCAAAAAATAACATCCACATTGCTTATGAGGCTTTGACATTAATGAACCAAATTAGATTGCGAAGTGAATTTTTGAAAAAAATTGGCTTCCTAAATTACAAGCCAAAGCCATCTGTAATCTCTGCATTTACAAGAATGCTGGTCAAAGTACGTCACACACTGGGCGAGGACGAGTTGTCCAATTTAATATTTTCCTATAAAGGCAAAGGTGCTGGAATTATTGAGTATGAAAACAGTGCCTATGCGGTCTTACTGTACCTCTTGGATAAACTTTTATTGACCAATGATGTAGAAAGCTTGAACAAATTTGCAGATGTTCTTAAAGTGGCAAAAAGCATTAGAGGACAGAAATATGTTCAAGAATATTGTAAGTATTCCAACATGCAGTGGCAGATTCAAGGGGTAGGGGATGGCAGCTGGCCCAGACCACCCTAAATATTTCAAAATTATTTTCAAAAATTGGAAGAAATGAAAGTTATATTCAAATTTAAGACTGAGAGTGCTATTTCCGGCCATCTAGAAGTCCCATAATCATAAATTTTCTTTCCAACCATGGTAGGGATGATTTAGTATAAACCTTCATTTGGACCCCCTCTATTTCAAATACTGTACCTTTATATGCCATTGACACACTTTATATTTTTAAGTATTTTTTATGATAAAATACAACTTTCAACAATGTTTGCCTGTTTACAATATGTCCAAGCAGAAATATGTTTTTTGAGGGATAATGATAAGCCAATTTTATATAATGAGACATGTAACATTGGAATCTTTACCACTTATATTTATTTATTCATTCAATAATTTTATTGCTTTAATTGATTAATTGTATATTTCTTATTACATTTAAATGGAAAAAAAAAATATCTGTAGTTGTTATTAATACGACAGTAATTACAATTAACAACTATATAATAATCATGGGCTGTGACAGACAAATTTGTAGTGTTTTCATTATGCTTGTAGATACAGGCCCACTCATAAACTAATAATGTACCTGTGAGGAGAGCATAGGAACACTCCAGATTGCACCTTGGGTGAAATTGCTATGACTGCATTTTTGTAATGTTAATATTGCTCATTTTTATAGTGAAAGAAAATCCCAATCTGTCAAAAAGAACAGCATCAGAATCCACCCAGGAGGGTTTGAAGTATGTTATTTCACTTTATATGAATTGTTTTTTTGTCAAAGTACATTTGATATGAAATTATGCTTTAGAAATAGATACAATATACTTTTATAGTGAAAAGATACAAATCCTTTTCTTAATCAACATTACCACCATCATCATTATCACCACCATCATTATTACCACCATCATAATCATTACCATCACCAATGCCATCATCATCATTACCACATCCTCATATTATGAACATCATCATTAAAACCACCACCGGATTGGATTGGATTGGATTTATTCGGTGTAAACACCAAGGATAGCCCACGAAAGTCTAGAAGAAGACTTATTTCAAGTGAGGTCCTTCTGGTGGTGATTGGACAGTACACTGGGAGACAATCCCCTACTCTTTTCCGAAGAGTGTACTGCATTCTTTAATGTGCACGTGGGCCATAATGCACACAGGACCAACGGCTTAAACGTCTCATCCGAAAGAAGGTGCGCTATTGTAACTTGTATTTTAGCCCTCTAGCTGAAACACAAGGAGAGGCAGCGATGGGAATTGAACCGGGGACCTAGAGATCTTCACAGTTCAGCGCACAGACACTGGTTACCATCAGATTAGCCGACTGAGCTAAGCTACTCTCAAATGGTCACCATCATTATCATAAACCTCATCATCATCATTATCTTCAACACCATCATTACCAGCATCATCTCATCATCACTATATAATCATCATCATCATCACATAAGAAAGCTGTAAAATCAATTTCAATCCAAGGGTCCTGCTTCAAATCCTGTGAAACACCAAATTTTTTTTTTTTTTTCATTTCATTTCTCTAGGCACGAGCGCCAAGGATATGCCAATAAATGAACTTAATCACTGTACTATGTGGCTTATCAACAGGGAACTTTATGGACCAGTGCACTGGGGTAACCCCCTACTCTTCTCAAAGGATGTACTGTACTAGGTTCTTTAAAGTGCACACGAGCCAATTGTGTACACTGGGCCTACGGTTTAAAGTCCTTATCTGAGAAGACTTGTTCCACCACCGGAACCATTGGTGAGTGAGCCGATATTAGAGCTCAAGGTTACGGTACCCCTGACTTAACCGCTCTGCCAATCAACTCACCTAATTTATTTTCACAATAAAACATCATTCCATGCTGTATGCAATTGGCAGTTATACTTGCTGTTGTATATGAAAGACATAAATTACTAACTTAAAAAAATATGTTTATTTGTTTATTCATAATCAATATTATTTTTAATATTTTCTGTTTTATTCAGTACTGTTGATCAAGAAGATGGAGATAGAAAATTTCAATTGGGTAAGTTCAACATTATATTAACTGAAATATTTCAATATTTTAAAATTTATTTCTATTAACACTCTGACCGCCGGGGGTTTGAACAAATAGTATCAGCCACCACCAGACACCGCAAATTTTAACACTTTTCTTAATCTAATCACAATCTGTGACCCGTAACAGTAAAATGGCTCACTTTTGGAGATTTACGCAATTTCGCACAACGAAGCTGAGATAAACAGTCCAGACTGAATAATAATGTTCAAATTGTTAGTACATGTCGGTAATTACCACATCTATCGGATTCCGTATTAAAACCTGAAATACGGAGATCTCCGTGTTTAGCGGTAAAGCGTTGTGCTACCAAACACAGAGATCTCTGTGGGACACTATCCGAAAAAATTGTCCCCTTAGTAGTAATATTAATAATAATAATGTACCTTATTTAAATACAGAGAGACTCGAATCGACCATAGGTGTTTTTCACCAAGGCCGTGCAAGGCCATACATAATAAGAAGAAACAAAATTATTGAAAACAATTAATAGGGGTGTCACCTGAAGAGGAATGTCCCAGAGGGGGTTTACATAATAATATCTGTATACAGAAACACAATAGAGGATCACAAAAATATTTTTCAACAAATAAATTTTACATACAAATTATAACTTAGAGACAGACATTTAATAAAATTATTTTTAGAAACAGTGAGATTGAAAATAAACAGGATTGTTGATTGATATATTGTTGAACAATTGCCATCATAGATTGAATTCATACACTTAAAATAAAAAATTGTAATCAAAATTTAATGCCCAGTTGAAGGATTTAAAATCTTAGTAAAAGTGGTATGTATATTTTGTATTTTAAATGTTTTATAAATGTATAGATTGCATAAAACTTGTAGACCGAAACAGGCAGTTGTCTAGATAAGCATGCTGTAATAATATTTGTAGAAATCAGGGATGTCGGTCTACTCAATGAGGGCTAGATATAAATCAATATACTTCATCTCTATTGTTACAACTATGCATCTCCCTGGTGATTATGTTTTTTTGCAGGAACATACAACATTAAAGGAAATGAAAATTTGATTGTGATTGGTGCACATAATCTGAATATACAAAGTAAGTAAACTTTCATTTGATAGGTTTATAATTGTTAAAGTTGTTGACACTATTTCCAATAAGCAAATTGATTTTTAATATTGATCATAGTCCTAATAATTTATAAGGCCAGACTTTTTTTTAATAAATTATACCTTATTTCGCGAACTTATTTTTTTTTCAAAGATCATTAAAGGAGGGTGGAAAAAAAAATTAAATTTTGTTTTCTTATTAAGCAAATTACTTATTTAGACTGCCTGTTTCGGTCTACATGTTTTGTGCAATCTATACATTTTTAAAACATTTATGATGACATAATTAATGTTAAAATATTGAATTCCAACACAATGGCGTGCTTTTTTCCTAATTATATCAATTTAAAGTAATTATTTTGATACTTGGAGTATGTATTATACTATCTTATCTTACATTAATCAGTGGACCTTTCGGTTTTTAGCAAATTGTTTTGCCAAAAACAGGAGAAAATAAAATAAAATGTTATTGTTGAATTTAAACAGTAATGGGATGGTTAAATACTTTAAATTTATATAATTAGGAAAAAATATTTATCTTCTTTATTGGATATTTGAAGGCAGTAATAAAGAGAAACTTTGTTCTAAAATTTATTTTAGTGCAGCGGGTTTGATAATTGGCCAAAAATAAAATTTTATTATTATTTGAAATCATAATTATTGGCAGGCGGCAGGTTTGCTGAACAAGTTATAAAAAGTGTTGCCTAAGACTCTGCCCTATTGCTTATTTTTGAACACATGTTTAGTGCCTCAAATTCAAGACATTTCTCAGCATCAGCAAGTAGCCAAAGCTCAAGATACAGCTAACAAACAGCAAGGTGCAAACCAGCAGCCAGCATCTGACCAAATCCAAGTAATGAACAAACAACCAACAGTGAACCAACAGTCATTATCTGGACAAAGATTGGCAATAAACCAACAGCCAATAACTGACCACAAACTATCAGTGGACCAACAACCAGTACTAAACCAGCAGCCTACAAACCACCACCAAGCAGTGGACCAAGAGTCACCATCTGCCCAAAAACTGGTAATGGACTATCAACCACCAACTGACCAGCAGTCAGCTATAGACCAGCAGTCAGCATTTGACCAACGACCTTCCACAATGCATAATAGTGAGCAACCCGAACATGTTTCATTTTCTGGTAAATACATGCTATGAATCCATATGTTGTTATGTATATTTCATTGCTGGCTTGAATAAATTTTCTTTTTTTTCGAGCCAGCCCGAACCTCTCTAAATTAAAAAAAAAAATGGAGAAAAAAGGGAAAATTATAGTTAAAATTAGGTCTGATAGTGCCATAAACTTCCTTACCTCAGCCCCATCCATGGTGGGGCTGAGGTGGTCTAAATCGTTTGTAGGTGAAAGTCCTTTCCTGTGCCTCTTCTATTTTGAAATGCTGCATTTACCATTGAATACCACAATCTGCTGGAATGGCACTTTATAATATCAAATAAAACACATTATTATAAAGGCTTCTGAATATAAAACAAAAATTTAATTTATAAATAATTACTATATTATACTGCAGAAGCAACTGGACAAGACCATGGTGATGACAAACTGCCCAGAGACAGAGATTCCCTTGATTTAGGATATTCTTCACATCTTCTTTCACCAGGTATATTTTTTTCATTGCAAAGTTACTTTTCATAGTCAAAATATTTGCTTGGTATATAATTATTCATTATTCACGATGTTGTTATTAGGCTTACACTTGTTTACTATTTAAATGAATTTGACTTTAAACACACTCAAATCAATTTATTAACAATGTAGGAATAAGTCACATGCATTCAGTCTTTTTGATTGTGTAAATCTGTGCATTTCATTACCGTTTTAACAGGGTTGTAGCTAATGAAAACTAAGGGTGGGGATAGACATTTTGAGGGTGGGGATAGATATTTTGAGGGTGAGTGCGTGATAACATTGGTAAACTCTAGATAATAAGAGTGGATTTTAAGGATGGAAAAGTAGGTTAATTAGGGTGGGTTTAAGGCCATGAAATTAGCTTCAGACTGGGTGGAAAACTTCAAGGCTGGGTGGCCCTGCCTGCTATAACTACATCCCTGTTTTGATAAAATAGAACTATATATTCTAAGCGTGGTGTGATTTTAATGTTATTGTATCGTTGTCTTTCCTTTTTGGGTGAATATTTAGACACAAGTATAAGCATGCCACCAACAGAATTTTCAACCATAAAGCCCTTGCTATCTTTGCCACCTTCCAGTCAATCAACCCCTCCTACATACAAGCCAACATTACCAGTTCAACCAGGTAGATATTGGGTAAACTTTTGTTAAGGATATAGGTGTGAATCAATCATAGCCAATTTATGTAAAAAGAATATAACATTATTATTTATGTACCTGTAATTGACAATGAGTAGGATATTGTTTTCGATACAATTTTGAATTAGAAGCTTATAACTATAATTGGTTAGTTAGAAACTTAATTTTTAGTTATAAATATACAAAAGTAAGCATATGTAATACAAACATTTATTTTTCAATTTTTTAAACTCAACTTGAACCCTGGTTTTGGCCTGGGGGGTGCGAAAATTGAGTATGCGGAACTAAATCCCTATTCCAATGAAACTTAATGGTCATTTTAAATTTTTTTAACTCAAATTAATGGAACTAATTTACCACCATGGGGTTGAGGGAGGGGGAGGGGTTGCATCCCCACCTTTCCAGCCTATGCTCATGTTCAAAGATATAATAAATTTGTTTTATTTTTGAATGAAAATTAAATTATTAGCTTTAATTAAAAAAAAAAATAGTTATTAGCTTCTAATCAAAAATATATTTTACTCATTTTAAAGCCCCATTCCCGGAAAAAATTTCACTAAAAACTGACTTTTTTTAGAAAATATTTATTTGCGTTACTGCAATTATTATAAATCATGGAAAAATATTGGCATGAATTTTAGTTTTATGCAAAAGAATAAAAAAAATAAGAAATACAGACTATTTCTCATAAAATATTACCATTTTCTGGACGAATTCATCGTTACTAGGCAAATTCAGAGGACTACTCTTGCTTTTATGTATACTTTATACAGTCAATAAAGTGCGCCCTCTCTAATGAGATTAGTTTTTTTACTTCGTATCTCGCACAATGCGGTCGTTCGATTAAGTGTCAAAATCTCAGTCAGAATCAGTTTTTTAACAAATTTGAAATAATTCCTATGAAATATTATATTTCACAAGTGTCAATACTAGCAACGGAAAATATCATGTCGGCCGTTTTTATGTGTGATAACAGAACCAGCTGTGTATAAGAGACAGTTCCATGGCGGCGGGTGGGCTCATTGGCCAAAAATAAAATTTTATTGATATTTGAAATCATCATTATTGGCGGGCGTCAGGTTCGCTAAACAAGGTATAGAAAAGGTCTCACCTTACCACCTACTGAACGCATTGGTTATTAATATTGGATCAAAGCCTAATTTTGGCAAAATCTGCTTAGAAATAGGCCCTTAGGGCAAATAAAAACAAAGTTATTGTGTTGGCCATGCCCAACCGACCCAAAATGTTCGAAATTGAGTTTTTTTTTCTTGCATCGAAAAATATTTTATTAATGAACTAAAAAGGCTGGAATAAGCCTACCTTGCAATGGTAGGCCTGTCTCTTATACACATCTAGATGTGTATAAGAGACAGGATAAGGGTAATAATAAATAAAAGTGATGATAATAATGTTAATGATAATTAAAAATAACATTGAAATCACTAATTATACATTTTTCCTTTAGGCAAGTGGCTGAAAGAAAGTAGAGGACAGCCAATAACTGTTGCCATCAAAGAATACAACGAGGATATAGCAAAGGGTTCAAAACAAGGGGACGAACAGTTCCAAAAGGTGTTTGAAAATATTTTTACAAAGATTTTTTTCATTTAATATTGTATATATGTTTTTGATTTATTTTAACTAAAAATGCTATTTAATTTCACATTTTAATCACATTTATTACTTAATCAAATTCTTTAATGTTTATACTTTTGTTATGTATTTTGTATTTTTATATTTTACCACTTATGGCCTTGCACGGCCTTGATGAAAAACACCCTTGGATGATCAAGTTTTTCCGTGTTTAAATAAAGTAATTATTATTATTATTATTATCTCGGATTTTCTATTAACATTTTTACATATTTTAATAAAAAGCTTTATTGTAGAATTATATTTAAAACAAGAATATCAAATTCTGGAGTGTTTTTTTAAACTTATATTTTAGAATTAGCAGTCAAAATATTTGCTTATTGTAATGTAACATTACCTGTACTTTTCCAATTTTCACAGGAATTAAGTGCAGTGGAAATTTCCAAGCATTGCTTTGCAGTGACTGTACTAGGGTTTTGTAGTGACCAAAAGTAAGTTCGCTTTGATTCATGTAGTTTGGTAATACGCATTGTATAATTGAAAGCAACATATTATACTGGAATAAATTCATTTGTTGTTTATTTTTCTTAATCTTAATAATAAGATTATAAAATAGAACACTGGTAGCACTTGTTACTGACATATTTCATTTGGATTTGGTTAAGCTTTAGGCCTCTAATCACAGGAGCATGGTTTAAGTCCTACAATGGCCATATTGCATGTGGTTTAGTAGTCAAGCACTAAGGCTTTAATTACAGGAGCATGGGTTTAAGTGGTACACTGGTCATGTCGCATGTGGTTTAGTAGTCAAGCACTAGGCTTTTAATCACAGGATCATGGGTTCAACTCTTACAGTGGTCATAAGGCATGTGGTTTAGTAGTCAAGCACTAGGCCTTTATCACAGGATCATTGGTTTAAGTCCTACATTAGTCATATTGCATGTGGCTAGTAAAGCATTTAGGACACTATGACAGGATCATGGGTTCAGTTCCTACACAGGTCACAATGATGTGGGGGTTGTTTTTGAAATGATTTATTGCAAATCTCATGTCAATCATTTTGATTTATGATAGCATTAAATTATTGTTTAATATTTTATACCGTTGTTTACTGTTCTATAGATACAAAGCACTTGTGTATCCATACATGAAGAAAGGGGATCTAAAAAAGTTACTTGATAATCACTCTCCTGACTTGACATGGAAGGTCCGACTCCGCATATTACATCAGATCGCTCGTGTGATGTGTCACTTTCATAATTCATTTGCGTTAAGAAAAGGGTTGGTATTTGTGTATTTTTTTTTTTACAATTTGAAAACTTGCTTCACATGAGGTTATACACTATAAATCAATGTTAACAAATTATGGGGGTTTTTTTTATCAAATATTATGCTGTTATTTTCCTTTATAGTGCATCTTTTGTGCATGGTGATGTGAAAGCAGACAATATTTTTGTTGATGAGCATTTGAATGCTTTTTTGGGAGATTTTGGTGTAATGGAAGAGCTGCCAGATGGTAGAACATCAATAACACGGAATCTGCAAGCACATGCTATGGGTTACAAAGATCCTGATGCTGTTAAACAATTTTCTAAGTCTTCAGATGTGTTCATGTTTGGTGTAGGTGAGTTAAATCCAATTATTTCAAATAATAATAATACTATACAGAAATTTATACGACTCTCATCTGGTTTATTGGATGTAGATTGGCAATCAGCACCAAGTGCAGCCTCCTCTACGTCCCTTTTTTTAAAATTTTTAAAATTTTTTATGGAAATTGCCAAATACAAGGCTAGAAGCCACTCAAGGTAAAGCTAGATAAAAAGTAACAAAATAAGGACAAAAAGAAAAAGATCTCAATCAGGCAAACTTTAGAGAATGACTTCAGAGTGAATGAGATGGAGATTCATTCTATGCTTGAAACAAGTGAGGTTATGTTCCTCCATGAAACAGTCCTTGGGCTGGGAATTCCACAAAGCCGTGGCTCTGGGATAAAAGCTCCTTTCAAAAATCCTGATTAGTTCTGCACTTCGGCTTCAACATAGTAAAGTGATGAGAAGCGCGTGAAAGCCTAGTGACACGGCCAAATGAATTGTATGGTGGAAGGAGATCAGATAAACCAGATGAACAAAATCCAAAAACTTATCGAAAAAAAATAAACAAAGGAAGGCAACTGTTCTTCTGTGAGCAAGAGAGTATAATGTTGAACCCATCTCTTCTCCAATCAGATTGACAAATCTCTTTTGAACCTTATCCAAATGGAAGTATTCCTAGTCATGCGTGCAATTGAATGCAGGTACACACATTCAAAGTTCAAAGTAATTTAATTGTCAATAATACAAGTGGTAAAATTGAAATTTGGTTTCCTCGGATACACAAAAAAAAACAACAGAAAATATCAACAGTAAGATTCTAAAAATTTCAGTTTAAAATATCATTATATAAATTTTCCTAACTAGGAACAAATATATACAGAAACAAATGGAGAAAAAAAAATAGCAGGTTAAAAAATAATCATTTGCTCAGTGTAATTCTTAATTTAGTATACAAAATATAGTACAAAAATAGTTTTAAAATTCCAGCATTAAAGACATTCAAGAAAATCACAATCAAAAATAATTACAATAAAAATTATTGCAGCAAAAAAGTCAAAAATTCAATTAAAAAAATAAATTAAGAAATTATTCAATTACAAAAAATTATTGCAGCTATAAAATATCAAAAGTTCAATTAAAAACATTATTTAAGTTTACCAAAATAAAATTCCAGAGAAGACATCAAAAAATAAAAAGAAAAATTTAAAATTATTTATTATTTTATTTTTATTTCCTTATCCCAATCATCAGTTTAATAAAAATCTTAAGTAAGTAGAGAAAAAAAATAATGTTTATCTACATCTATTTGATTTTGTACCAACTTGCCTGAGCCTGCCTGATTTGTTGAAGTGGAATCTATGATTAAGGGGGTGAGTCATCACATTGACAATGCTAAACAGTTTGTTTAGGGTTTCTTTCTCGTACACCTCTTCAACATTCACAAAGTCGTTTCCAATGCCCATAATATTGCTGGCCTTTTTTATAACATAATTAATCTTATCTTTGTTACTCTTAGTTAAGTTGGCATGCCCTACTATGTGGTTGCTCAAAAGTACACTCTGAATGACACTGTGAAAAAATAGCTGCATGGTGTCCAGGCTGACATTGAACTGTCGAAGCTTTCTAAGGAAGAACAACCTTTGGTTTGCTTCTTTTGTAACATAAGTAACTTGATTATTCCAATTTAACTTGCTATCAAGATGGACACCTAAATATTTATGCGAGTCTACAATTTCAATGTTACATTCACCAACCGTAACATGGAGTTTCTCGTTCGGATTCTTCCTGAAGTCAAAAATTAGTTTAAGGTTATTATCATTACACGACCTTTCAAAACTAATGATCATATTACGGTAATTATTTTCATTATTGTTGCTAATTAAGCCAGTCACAGCAGTATCATCGGCATATTTAGTAATGATGCAGTTTTCAAACATGCTTTTAAATGTATTAGTATATAGTGAAAATAACAAGGGTGACAACACACAGCCTTGAGGAGCCCCCACATTAGTGCTGATTGTACCGGACTTGGACGTCCCAACCCTAACAGACTGAGTTCTATCAGTCTGGAAACTGCCAACCCAAAGAATCACATGCGGGTTTACCCCAAGATCAACAAGTTTGAATAACATAATGTGCGGTAAAATTGTATTAAATGCTGAGGAGAAATCGAAAAATGTGGTACGAGCATATGAGTTAGGGTGATCCAGATGGGTGTGTATAAAGTCTAGAGCGGATATTAGAGCATCATTAACTCCCCTTTTCTTTTGGTTGCCAAATTGATGTGGGTCCAATTTGTCACCACACTGGCTGATTAGTTTAGACTTAACTAAGGATTCCATACATTTCATGGGCATGGCTGTAATAGCTATGGGCCGTTAGTCGTTAAGGTCAACTGGTTTTGATTTTTGGGGATGGGTTTAACCACAGAATGTTTCCAAAGATCTGGGACAGAATGCAATTCTAAGGACCAATTATATATTTTACAAAAAATGTCTTTAATTTCATTAGCACACAGTTTTAAATGTTTAGCAGACAGACTGTCTGGTCCGAAAGCCTTTTTAACGTTCAGTTTTCTAAAACATTCTTTAACCTGAGCAGGTGTAAAGCTAATGGTTGTAGGACAATTTAATAATGACAAGCTATAATCAGTGACTGCCTTTAAGTTATTTGGATCGGAGTCCACTTCAAATCGGGTGAAAAAAAGTTCAGGTCATTTACAAAGTCGCCAGTAGTGTTTGCAATGTCTGCTGCACATGACCTTTTGAGCCCCATGCCTGTAGCTAGTCGGCCCTTCCCAGGCAGACTTAGGGTTATTTTCTTTAAAACGGTTCTCAATTTTCTTTCCAAACTTTGTTTTAAGCCTCTTTGAATTTGCTTTAATGAGTTTCTGATTTTCTTTAACCGCGACTCTATCACCTGCCTTGAAAGCATCTTGCTTTGCCTTAATCAGTTCTCTCATCTCTTTGCACACCCATGGTCTGACATTAGGATAGACTTTGAACTTAACATGGAATAATTTCATCATGGCACCATTTGATGTACTTAGACACTGTTTCAGTGACTTCACTAATGGATTCACATGCAGTAAAGAAAATATCCCAGTCTGTTGATTCTAAACAGTCTTTTAATTTGCTAGTTGCTGAATCTGTCCACTTTCTGTTTACTTTTACAACAGGTTTTTTCCTTTTTAGAAGTTGCTTGTAGGTGGGTATTAGTTGTACCATGTCGTGATCCGAGTTTCCCAGTGGAGTCTTAATAACTGATTTGTACGAATCGGCAGGAACATTACCATAGCACAGATCTAATTTGCTAGTACCCCTTGTTGCAGCTTTCACATATTGCCTGTAGTGTGGTAGTGCAGCATTAAGTCGACATTTATTGAAGTCGCCCAGAATCAGTTGTAAGGCCTGCGGCATAGGAATACATTCAATGATACAGCATCCTACTTAGTATACATTTTCAGATAAAATCTGAAAATATCTTTTCATAAATTTGTTATTCTTAATTTGTTTAGCCATTCTGGCATTGCAAACATATTGGTAATTACCAATGTCAATTATCAATATGTTGCAGTGCCAGAATGGGTAAATTAAGACAATGTAGCAAAAACAGCACTACCCAAAATGCTTAACATTTGTAAAAAGATTTGCAAAGAAAATGCATATTTCCTAAATTCAAAGTATGAAATATTAAGTTAACAACATACAATAAGACATGAATCTTTCAGTTTTCACTTCACTTCACTTCACTTCACTAATCCTTTTTATCTGCCAAAGGTTCTGTGTAATAACAATAAAAACTGTTTTTGCTTATGAATTTATTACTTTTTTCTTGTTATAAAAATTTTAATAAAAAATCAATAAAGGTTTTTTTCATTAAGTAAAGTTTAATGTTGTGGGGTGGGGAGGGGGTAAGTCTGATAAGCCAATTTAAGCCTTTAGGATTGACCCACCTCTTTACAAATACAGTAACTTTTAAAATTTATATTCATTTGTTCCTATACAATACAATACGATTTATTGTGTTCATTTAAAAATCAGCGGCAACCATCACTTTGATTTTGCCCCCAAGAACAATATTAAATATAAAAAGGAAAGCAAAAATAATTCAAAAACAACTTATACTAGAACTTAAATTTTTTTTAAATGGGTAAAACAACATAATATTTCAACAAAACCAAGTAAATTATTGTAATGTTTTACCTTTTTTGCATATCTCAATAATAAATTAACATCATTAACAATAATAATAATAACAATAACAAAAAGGTCCACTGATTAATCTCAGATAAGATAGTATAACTTGGAGTATGTATTATACTATCTAATAATAACAATATCTTACAAAATCTTGACGCTTGTGTGGTGCGCAATACAAAATTGTTATTGTTAATAAGTTAAAAAATATGATATAAAACACCATGCTACACAAAAACCTGTATACAGTAAACATTTCAAATTAACGGAAAATTCAAATTTTATTGCACTCGCATTAACAGGCCAGGACAGATTCAACACCAATCCAGCGGGTGTTCTATAAGAAAGCATTACAGGTTCTTGTATATCTCATTGTATTTGTCAAAAATACAACTTACTTCATTGTAATCAGATTCAAGCAAATCGTATTTAAGTGGAAAAGATGATGTCTAAAATTTGGTCAACTAGAGGTAAATATATCTCAAAATATATGATGGTTGTATTTATTAAGTTCATTTCAAGTTTCTAGAAAATTCCATTTCTAATTATATTCTACTATTCTTTTTTTCTGTTTTACTTGAAGTGATGTTCCGCTGTATTACCAGCTTACCAGCACAGCAAGGAACGGAACCACCTGAGTGTGAGTCACTGGCATCTTCGAGACAGAGAGATATTGAGGAAAACTGTGGAGATCTATATAAAAAAGTTGACAAAGTAATATTAAGATTTTAATATGTTTTTATTTAAAATATTGTTTTTGTTTATTTTTGTTCATTTCTGTACCTTTGTTTCCTGTTGACTATATAAAATAATCAGATGAAAAAAAAAGAAATAAGAGAAACCATCTCAGTGTTGAGTGAGACTTCAGGAGTAAATTTTCTCCTAATTGTCTATTAAGGCTCACATTTCCTTTTGTAGACTGCTTACTAAAAATGGTCTAACATGTCATTTCTTTGGGTGTAGGTCCATTGCCACCTGGCATGCAGTGCCACTGAAACTTTTGCAGCCTAGGTAGCTGCCTGTCTATGAACACTCTTTTCCAACATTATGCACCATTACTCAAATAGTGCCGGCTATTTAACCATTATCTCGACATCGTCGTTTTATCACACTAACGTAGAACAAACACTGAAATTTGAAGAAATTGAACATCATCAACATATACCCCTCAGAAATGTGGGAAATTGCATTTCTGGGCCTTCATAATGTTGTCCCATAAATGCACATTAAACACAGCCTTTCCGATACAGTTTATCAAGATGTTGCAAACAGGTCTAGACATCCAAACGATAATGTGTTAGCATCTTTAAAAATGGTTGAAATATTTCAAAAATTGCAATGAATGTTTGCCCTCATACACAGATTCTTTAGAAGAGCAAGCGAAATTAGTAATTCAAACTTTTTCTACTTTTGGCGAAGCGAAAATATGTGCATACCTCATCGTACTCTTTCAGGAATCTTGTGAACCAATGACCGCAATTTGCAGTGTGTGCCTGACTAAATGCACAGCTGTAGTATACTACTAGAGGATAAAACATTTGGAGTCAAACAAAAGAACAAAATAGAAGTATAAATAAGCAATATGAAAATAAAATTAGTAATGTGACAAATAAGGAGCCTTGAACATAAGTATGTGGTTGCTGTACCTGTGTTTTTCTGTGTTTTTTTAGGCTCTTATGAAGAAAGAAAAGATTCTAGGATACGAAGATAATATACATACCAGGTGTATCTGCTGCCAGTTACATCCTCTGTCTAGAGGTAGGTGCTAAGAATAAGAGAGAGCTTTCGCTTTGAGTGACGATGCGATGCTAGAATTGATCCACTTATGTGTGGCCACTCTACACTCTCTGCACGATGCAGATTGGTCAAATTGCATCCTAGAATCCATGGGACATGGAGAATTTATGCAGATGACTTTTTAGCCAGGTCATTACATTCTACGTCTCACCATGTCGTGCTATTAAAAGCATCCTTATAATGAGCTATGTACCATTCAAAGTCTGAACAATGATTATAGTATTGAATGTAGACAAAACATTCTCATCATCTTGATAAACTGATTGATTGATTGAATTTATTTGTAATCAGGGTTTGTTTTTATCATTGACGGATGGAAAAAAGAATACGTATGCAACTACTCAAATTTTTTTTTTTTTTTACGTATACACACATAAGGCCTATTTACTTTAATAAGATAGAAAAAAAATTTATTTGACCGTTTAGAGGGGAAAACCTTGAAGAATTCAAAAGACCCTTCAGAAGCCAGGAAATCTCATTTCCCTCAATCTAGGAATCAAAATTTTCCCGACCCCTGTTGTCTTTGGGGCTCATCAATTCATGGAAAAAAAGAACACATATTCAACTACTCAATTTTTTTACACATAGGCCTATTTACTGTAATAAGAATGAGAACAAATTACCTGACCTTTTTCAAGAGGGGATAAAACCTTTAATTTTGAAGAACTTAAAAATCATTAAAAGACACTACAGAAGTGGGAAAAGCTTATTTCCCGCCATCTAGGAATCAAAATTTTTCCCGGGGAGGACCCGCACCCCCCCTTTTTTTGTTTGGGGTGCGGGTTGTTAGGAACATTTTAACCCCTTCCTAAATTGAACCTAGATCTGCTCATGTTTATTGTTTTACCACATACATATAAACATAACTTAATAAAAGGTAAACAGAACATTTTTTGGTTATCAATGAGATGAATATCAATTGTTTAAAAATTCTGTTTTATTTTACAGTTGCTGTAAATGATAAATGTGGGTGCATTTCGTGTATGTGCCTCACTTGCCTTCAGAATAAGGATATGCCGTGTCCCTTCCATGTAAGCAGTGAGATCGAAAAGAAATTGACTGAATAACAGTGGCATAGATATGGCCAGTCCAACCAGCACTGATTCCCATCGCTATCAGGATTCTATTCAATAATAGGGCTAAAAAGTCCTACTCTTTATTAGAGGCAATAATTTTTTATTGATGTATTCATTTCAACTGTTTACTCGTTGATGGATCATTGAGACCCCATAGACCTTCCTGATATGTTACTACTAAGCTATTATCATGACATGGAAGTTGATATATTCTTCAATCATGCCATAAATTTGCATTACTAATTCTAATATATATAACAAAACACACTGATTTTACAACAAAAGAAATATTTTGCAGTAGAACTAATAAAATTAGTTTGAATTTTTATGTCTCCTAGTGCATGATACTGTAGTTTGAGCAATGAGGTACTGTACTTACACCTGCCATATAACAAGTAACACAACATGTGACTAAGTACATATATACAGTACTTAAATTATTTCTACTGACTAGCCATAAACTGTGTTTTAAAACTTACTGCCCTCAACGACAGTATATTACCTACAGTCCAATAGACTCTAAACATTGCGATTTTACAATAAATCCATTGAATGGTGTTTATTTAGTAATTTTTAAAATTCAGATTTTTGATATTTTGTACAGGCAAAGCAGTACTATTGCTGTTGTATATATAATATGATGTAAATCTGAATATGATGTATTGAAGTAGGATGTTACAAACAAATATTTTACACTTCTGAAATAAATTATGTGAACATTAAAATCGATTGTAATATTAAATTAGATAAATTTGTAAAAATTAATTGGTCATTAAAAAACTCATTTTATCGACAAACTTCTGTTGACTTCAAGACAGATTGAAAATCAACGGAATACAGAATATTTTGACAAGTAAAATCCGATCGACTTTGATATTATGTTTTATTTTCATTTTATCAGACAACTTTACATCTTCTGTTTTCATCGAGATGTTGTCGTACATGCAAGTTTTTATCCCTTTTTAGGTCTTCATTGATTGTACAGTCTATATAGATGGAATTACATCCAGCACATTTAAATTTAATGTTCGGCGTAGCATCTTTAGTACCAAAGAATTTGGCTAATTTTGGTGGTATTGAATGAATGTAACATACCTTGCAACCATTACAATATTTTTTTCAGTATAGATTTTTTATTCTACACTTAATGTTATCTGGATATTTGCAAAAATATGGAAGTTTTACATAAAATACATTAGCACTTTAATCATCTTGTGGTTTTGTTTTATGGTCTGATATTATACGTATTATCCATATAATAGTCTCATCATAATGTGGATTGATAACCATTTCGTAGCCTTGTTTTTCAAAGACAAACAGATCATTATAGATCAAGCCAAGAGTGTTTTGTCCAATCTTAATTCGTAACTAAATGGACAGAATCTATAAGGGGCCATTCACGCCGAATCCGAATTGTGGATCGGAAAGCTTGTGTAAATGCTGCTTAAAAAACCGAAAGTGGTTTTTCTAAAGATTGATGTTTTCACTTTACCATCTTGCTTGTGGTTAAGAACATCCAATATGTATATGTATATACTCTTACGCTGAGGTAGGCAGGGCAGCAGGTGAAAATTTCGTTCAGTAAATGTATGTCTCAAATTGTGTCAAAGTGTCTGGCGTTATTTTATCAACTGCAGTTTTGATAAAGTTGCAGCCACTACAAGGTCGTCGGACTAAAAACTTTAATTTGTCGATCCAAATAATCTGATGTAGAGTAGAACCCCCTTCTTTTGGAGAATACAGATCATTATAGTACAGTAATACAAATAATTGTTAGTCAAGAATACTATACTGCTTAGCTACCTTGTTCCAAATTTTCAGTCGCACGGAAATGATCGGATACCCTTTTGGACACCCATATGCTGGGGGGGGGGGACACAACTATAGAGGGGACACTTTTCCGTGAAACGATGATACAGCCAACCCCTAATAAGGAGACAGGGACACTTTTTGAGTGTGCAAAATGGCCAAATCAATACTATTTAACACCTATTAAGTGGACACATTTTTTTTTAAATCAAAATAGCTACAGTAGTCACAAAGTAAGTCAAAAATCATTGAGATTTTTTCCTCTCGATCTTTAGAATAAGAATGGGTATATGCCTAGTGCAGGGGTTCTCAACTATATCATAAGGGACAAAATTGTTCATTGAATAAATTTGAAGGGCCAGGGAAAGAGGTGTGCTATGGCGGATAGCGTCATCTGGGCGCCGCAGGAGCGAGCCTGTTGAGGGTTTGGGAGGGGTGGCCCCTTCCCGAATTAAAATCTTATTTTTTAAATAATAAGCCACTAGATGCTCATTAAAGGTGAAACACTGAGAAACTCTGTCGAATCCTTCTGCTGGCTCCAAAGACATTTGAAGGTTTTTGCAAATTTTTTGTCTTAAAAAAAATCAATTAAAACATAATCAAAAATTGTTTTTCCTTTGGAGCTGACTTTAACCTATTTTACAGACTCATATTCTGTAAAGTAAAAAAGGCGTTGAGTTCTCCGTCGGCGGAGCTCTTTCTGACGAGGTCCTGCCACCGCAACTGACACCACCACTTAATTTCAATCTTCGTAAAATTAGAGTTATTTGGATCTGATGGTTTTAAGAAGCATGAAAACTTGTAAAGTGCTGCATTCTAAAAATTAGTTGCATAGGCCTATAATAAGGAACTTAGAAATATTTAAATTAGGTTAATTTAATTTTATTTTTATTTCTCCAAACAGCATAAAGGCCAATAACAGGGAGAATAAAAATAAAAAATACAATAAACATTCATGATTAAAACAATTTGTAATAATTACTAAAATTCGAAAGAGCATAAAAAAAAATCCAAATGATTAAAACACATTTTCAGGGCCTAAGTGTATGGTCAAATGACTCGTTTAACTTAGAGTAAAAATTAAGTAAGAGGTTGGTAAGAAAATATCAACTGATGGTTCATTGTACTGAAGAAAACTCTTAACCAGATTTGCTGCGTAGCACCGCAAGCACTAGTGGTGTAAACAAAATAGGAAGGTGTTATAATATTATCAACCAAATGTTGAATTCCTTTATTTAGTTGTACGACAAAAGTGTCTGCAGGCCTCGAAACTGTAACCTCATGCTATCAAGGCGAGTGTCATACTCATAGACCACGGAGACCATATGATCATGATATACATGCAGATCTACACCCCCTCCCCCCGACACTTTGTATGTAGGCCTATATCATTATTATTGTTGTTGTTTTAATATTATTTATTATTATTCGTATTGCATTTGTGTGTATATATATGAATAAAACAAGAATAAACCTATAGGCTTATAAATAGGCTATATAATGTACAGATAAAGATAATATATACATATAAATTATAAACATATAAAAATAAAAATAAAGTGGTGTTAATAAAGAAAGCACATATCAGCTATCAATATAGAACAGAATAAAGAGATGGTGAGAATCAATTGTATGGGAAGCTGATATGTGCTTTCATATCCCATCTTTTACTCTTTAAGACTTCATAATCATTTACCGGTACTTATTTTGTAGTTAAGCCCGCTTCCCACCATATTGTTCTACTATGTACGCTTAATTAAGAATTGTTTAATCTATAACACCACTATCTCTATACTTGACCGCTTTGTTCTCTGTCGGATTTCTCTTTATATATTACCGCATAAACTATTAGATAATTGGCCTATAATCCGTCTACACCTCTATTGTATTGTTAATATTGTACAGTGTAGAACTTGTAACAGCTAACTTGTACATTTAGTAAAGCTGATGAAGGCCAGAGGACTGGCCGAAAATTTCTTTCGAAAATAAATGAAGTGTTCTACAGTCTACATGCCTTGTTGTCATAATTTTTTGTTTCAACGAAGGCAAATGGGAAAAACCCATAAAACAGCAAACGCATTGGAATGAGTAATTGATGGTAACAATAACAATTATTCAATGCTATCACTATATATATATATATATATATAATGCTATAAAAATAAAAATAAAGTGGTGTTAATAAAGAAAGCACATATCAGCTATCAATATAGAACAGAATAAAGAGATGGTGAGAATCAATTGTATGGGAAGCTGATATGTGCTTTCAT